ACTTACCACTGAAACTCGCGACCGAAGGAGCAACGGAAGACTCGACGACGTATGAAGGAGCAGAACTCTGTTGGATGAGGGAGAGCATCTGATTATACTGGGTAAGGGTGAAGGCCAGAGGGATGTCGGTTGCTGAGGGATTAGGGTTAATAGTCACATTAGATTTGGGAAAGGATTTGGGTTGGGAGGGATGGTGTGCGGCTGAGTGGACAAAATGGGCTTGAGGGGAATGGGCCAAATGAGGGTTATTGGGCTTTGGGTTCCTGGGCTTGTAGCCAGGTGGGAACCCATGAAGCTTAAAGCACTTCTCTCTTGTGTGGCCAGAGAGATTACAGTAGGTGCAGATGGGCCGTTGACGCCGCTGAGTCGTGTCAGCCATGGACGCCGGAGCTTGATCGGCGTTGGTGACAGAGCCCATAAAAGGGGTTTCTGGAGCAGCAATAGCAGGTAAAGAAACAGAGATCTGGCGTTGATGTTCTTCCTGAATCACCATGGAAACACCTTTGCAAGAGAGGGCAAAGGATCGATCAACAGGATCTGAGCGCGGGCAGCAGAGAAGGAGTCATTGAGCCCAATCAAAAATTGAATGACATGATCTTGATCCCTACGATTGTTCATATCGCGAAGAGCACCACATGAACAGTGAGGGAGAGGAAGATACTCTTGAAGCTCATCCCAGAAAACCTTCAGTTTGCCATAGTAGCTATTGATATCAAGAGAACCTTGACGCAGAGAAGCAATTTGTTGTTTGAGCTGAAAAATTCGAGGACCATTGGCCTGAGTGTATCGAGTTTTCAGGTCAGCCCACACTTCAAAGGCATTGGAAAAATATAGAAGGCTGTCGGAGATATCCTTTGAAACGAAATTTAATATCCAAGAAATAACCATGGAATTACAACGATTCCAACAAGAAAAAAGAAGATCTGAAGGGGGAGGTCGAGGTAGAGAACCATCAACGAAAATAAGCTTGTTCTTGGCTATAAGAGCCAGAAGCATGGCGCGATTCCAGGAATTATAATTGGAACCAGAAAGAGGTGTGGCTACAAGAATCAAACCAGGATGGTCACCTCCCTGTAAGAAATAAGGACTGGAAGAGTCTTCCATGGAGGAAGAACTTCCAGAGGAAGAATCCATAGGAGGGGGACGTGCAGCGTTGTTGTTGCCACGAGCCATGGAAAAAGGCAAGGGCTAAACAAATACATCTGATACCATATTAGTTTAGAGAAAAGATATGTGAAAATAAAACTGAATATTCATCTTCATTCAAAGTCAGGAAAAAGGTGTACAAGGGAGCTCACTACTTATAACAAGAAATATAACAGAATGCTAAAAGAGTGCTAACACACGCGTGGGCCAGCCTGGTACCTAAAGGCACCCAATTAGTTACAACAGCAAAAGAAAATAGAAAAATAGCTATAAAGGAAAATACAATATTAATAGCACTAAAGATAGAGTGTGGGAAAACATACAAGTTTCTAATTCAAAATAGAGTAGTAGAGACTTGCTACTTACCTAGCGTTTGCCCACTCCCCTACCCAACCAAAACCATGATGTGCTCTGAAACAATTTTAAAACAATCAAAAGAAAAAGCCAAAAGGACTAGAGTTAGCTTATATATAAAGTAAATAAACTGACGATTAAAGAAAGCTTTTCACTCGGGTAGCAAGGAGCTAGTTGCCAAAAAGCTAGACATCTTACTTGGATGTGTTTTTGGCAATCGGGACCAACCAATGTACTGTTTTCTCCATCTCATCTTTGATATCTGCTACAGTTAGCTGCAAGAATCAGTCAGCAACCATGAGGAAAGAGCAAAAAAAAAAAAACAAAATGTAATTTAGGTGATTTTCTTCTTTGGTTGGAAGTGGAAAACTGAAAGCACAATAAAATTTATTTTTCAAAATTTGTTAAGCATTTTCCTCAGCATTTTAATTAGGTATGGTATTTGCATGTTAACCATGTAGGAATTTACGAACGCAAGTCTTATGGGTGAAGGAAGTACTCGTTGATGAAATCAAGGGCATTAATTGAGGACTGATCACTACAGATGACTAATTGATGCTGACGAGGAGGTTAATTGAGGAGTTATTGATTAATAGGAAAAGGAAAATACCCTAACTTAAAAACCACAACTAGCGACTGTAGTTGCATATTGATTAATAGATTAACTATTTTAAAATTGATACATTCTTCCCATCAGTTGTGACTAGAGGCAAAATGTATTAATCTAAAGCCTTTCTATCCCTATTCTAAATTTTCCGGAACTTTTTTTTTAAGCAAAAATAATAGAAAAGTATTAGCAGATAATCATACCTCTTCTTCAACATGAAAAGAAGGTAATTTGGAACGCAGAGATGATTTTATATTAGGAGGCAAGCTTTGATATAATGCATCCCTTGTATTTGCAGGCATAGAACTGGATCTGGCTACCTGACAACATCCCTTGTTCCGCTCCTTATTTATGCCTTTTCGCACCGGCGATCACTCCCTGCCCTCATCAGCGCCCGGGATGTTATATGCCCATAACGGAAGATCTCCATAGTTAAGCGTGCTTGACTTGCAGTAATTCTGAGATGGGTGACCTCTTGGAAAGTTCTCCCGAAAAGTGTGCGAGTGAGGACAAAACACGCTGAAAAGTCTCTTATTAGTGTGTAGGGATAGTCATTGATGTTTGAAGTGGCCAAGCGTTACAAGAGGTATAAGAGCAGGCCTCTCTTCCAGTACGGTGTGGTTCGAGGACGAACCAGGCAGAAACTCGTGGGCATGTGACATCTCGGGCGCTGACGAGGGCGGGGAATGATCGCCAGTGTGCAAGGGCACAGACAAGGAGCGGCTCCTGGCAGGCTTCCAGCGGTGGGGGTACATGAATGAATCGAATACACACCTGAAAGAGAGGGATTCCAAGGACTATGCAAGTATTGTACTCCACAGTTTGGGATAAATTATAAGAATTAATTGATACTACCTAGACTAATAAGATGCATTTATTTTTTGGTAGCTCATAACTGAAGAACCCAATAGTTAAGAGTGCTTGACTTGCAGTAATTCTGGGATGGTGACCTCTTGGGAAGTTTTCTCGGGAAGTGTGCGACTGAGGACAAAGCACGCTGAAAAGTCTCATGTTAGTGTGGGGATAGTCATTGATGCTTGGAGCGGTCAGGCGTTACATTTGGCCTTAAAAGGCTAAACCTGTGTTTAAATAGCAGTCTGGCCTGGCTTGTTACCTGTTATGAGTATAATTATCGGCATGTGGCCTGACTTATTTACAAAAAAATAAAAGTCTGGCTTAGCCTGTTAGGCTTTAAAAAATAAAATAAAATAAAATTATCCACTGATAATTCTGCAAAGATTCATAGATTCAATGTATATCCAAACAGGAGAATATAGACCAAAATCATTCAAAAGGTTTGCTTAACCAATAAACTAAAGTATTATAAAATTCTGCATATCCAAAAGAACAAAAGACTACAAATTCTGCATAAACATACTCATATCAACAATTTAATATATTGTGATGTTGCCTCCTCCTACATAAAAACAAAAAAACAAAAAACAAGTCAGATTTTTTTGGACATTCAATTATAATATCATAATATATAAAATTTTAAATTAAGTGAATTAATACCTTTTGTTTTTTCTTTATGCCATACTTATTACGTAACCAATATACACCGCAAATTAATGCTTGAACTGTATTTTCAGCCAAACTTGCTCGATAAGCATCAATGACTCTTCCTCCAGCACTAAATGTCGATTCAGATACGACTGTAGAGACTAGTACAGCTAATATATCCTTTACCATTTTTGATAAAGTCATATACTTCATGTTATTGCTCTTCCACCATTCCAATGCATCAAATTAAAGATGAGAATTATCCTCACTTATATAAACATTATCTTCAAGATAACACTTCAACTCTGACTTAACTGAATGAGTAGATTTCCTTGCACGTATCATGCTCATGAGTTGAGCAAACCCAGATTCAAAATCTTGTGAAACTTCAATTGAGGGAGAAAAAGATGAAGATCCTCACCCTAGTTTTGACATCTATATTAGAGAAAGGTTCTTGCAAATAATCATTGCAAATGCCTTCTAAAACTTGACACACATTTTCTATGTTAACTTTGGCATCAAATTCGGATTTGTAAATAAGTGAGAAACAAAGGCTCACCGTTTCTAATTTACATCTTGGGTCCAAAACACTAGCAATGTCCATCAATAAATTGCATTCCCCTCAATATTTATCAAATTTCTCTTTCATAAACCTTGTCATTCCTATCATGAAATCAGAACTATCTTCAGCTGTTTTATCAATCACTACTTTGACCATATAAATGTTGCGACTCAGCAAGTGCACCGATCATTAAGTAATAAAGTTGTACCGGAGTACAAGATCGTTCCCATGAGGATCGAATTTCAAACACTAGTTCGCTATTCGCAGTTTAGTTGGACAATCAAAGTTGAGATGAAGAGAATTGAAATTAAAAACAATTAATAACATGCAAATTAAAATTCAGAATTAAAAAGTAATTGAAAAGTTGATTGATTTAAAGATTAAAAACAAGTGTAGTTAGGATTTCGACTTCCCCCAATATCCTCGTTATGCTATAAATTAAATGGTCAAGAATCCGTTCTTAAAATATTGTCAATCAATTCTTTCTAAGTTAATTAAGGCTCAATTCCTTGTTACTCTAAATCTATGTGATCTTGAAAGAACTCTTGTTCCCCGATTATTCCCTAAGAAAACATGCATTAAGATCAAGAATTTAAAGATTGCACAATTACCCTATGTCTATCCCTAGATCACAAGGATTGTGATAAATTTATCAAGTCAGAGTTCATGCACCAACATCCCTATTATCATACAATTCCCCTAAATTAATCTATACGGAGCAAACTCATAGAAAGCATTAAAGACAGATAAATTTATTCAATTATAAAAAGAAAAGAATTCAAAGACAATTTAATTCATAAACATAAATATTCAATTGGGTTTCATATACCCCTAACTACATAAAGCTTTAGCCTAGCATACTGAATTCAAAAGCAATAATAAAGAAAAGAGAACCCCAAGCCTCCATTGGTGTGATGTCGACTTGATTCCTAGGTGCTCCAACGCTCCGTAACAGGATTTCTCCTTCAGGTCTCTGTGTAATTCTGTGAATTGGTGTCTTTCATTGACCCTCAACTTCCTTATTTATAACCATTGAAGCCATATCTTTTAATTCTCCATCCAATCTCTCTATAAATCTTATCAATTCTCAAATCAAATCTTGATTTGTTTCCTTTTTCTCTAAGATTATGAAGATTGGGCTGATTGGGCTCGTGTTGGGCGCTCAAGCGCGCTACAGGGCACTTGAGCGTGCTCCTACGCGTTAAATTCTCATTCTTTCCTGCCCTTTAGCGCTCGAACGGCCAGTTGGGCGCTTGAGCGTGCTGTTGGGCGCTTGAGTGCCCTAAATTGCTCAATTTAGCTTCTTTTCATGTCTGGACGCGCTCGAGCGTCCATTCTGTGAGATTGAGCGTGATCTTCTGGCCCTTGACTTGTACTATTTTGGCTTCCTTTGGTTCATATTGAGCTGCAACTCCTTGTTGTGATTTCTTCATCACTTCTTAGCATCAAATCCTTTGGATTTACCTTCAAAATGAGTAAGATATCAACACATTAGCTCAATTTCCTAACTTATGGTTTATATGTTGTAAAACCTTGAATTCCATGCACTCTACTATATATTTCTCATATAATTTAGCCTAAAAACATGATAAACCAAATGTTATCAATAAACTTCCGGAAGATATAAGTTTGTTGTAGGATAATCATTACCTGATATGATATTAGTAGCATAAGAGAAAACTTTTAATAAATGACATACCTTATCAACCTTTTCCCACTCTTTAGTAGACGGCAAGCAATTTTACAATGGTTGCATACTGTTGTAAGCCCAACATTGGGGATGTCCACTTCATGAAAGTCATCCCACACCTTTGATGTTTTTCGCCTCTTATTTGTGGTACTTGCATCTGCATCTTGTGTTAGTGGTTCTTGTCCTTAAACATCAACATTATTCCCTTCATGTGAATTAGAGGCCATTTACTTAGTTTGATAAAGAAACAACACAAATAAATCAAAATCAATGAGTGGAAAGTCCAACAAAGATGAAGACTATAGACTTGAATGCTCGCTTTAGCATAGCAAGACACTGCAATTAAAATTTATATGTACAATAGTGACAAGATAATGAGCCAAAAAAAGAATAACAAATTAGGATACATCCAAAATTTATAAAATCCAAAATTATTTCTATTCAATCATTGTTACATTTAATGTTGGATCCTTGTTTTGTGCTTTCCCTATACCCAACTAATATGTTTATTGGTTACATGCTTTGGACTTGTCCCTCTATAGCAATAATGATTAAATTATAAGCTTTCATAGACTTCAGTGTATTTTCCTTTTAACTATATTGAGATTAAACTATATATATATATATATATATATCGATGCCAAGTTGCCAACAAGCCTATCTCCACGCCGCTTCAGAGCAATCGAGAGACACAGCTCTCCACAAGCATAGAGATGCTAAAAGCAAACACAGTTAGAAAGTTGTAAATAAATTGCCCAGGGAGATCAAAACCATTCTTTAATGTTAAAGGCAAACTTCCTAACAGACTATAATATAATTCAAGAATCAACATACTTCCTCATTTCTATATTTATTTGGACATAGAGACATACTCATAGAAAGGAAGGAAGAAACAAACAAAGAGATTACTAGTCTATATTTTGTTTTCCATCGTTAGGCAGCATAGAAGATAACATGTTCCTTTTTAATTATGCCAGTACAAAGATTAAAAACATGTGCTCTCATCTGTTATTTATTTATTTAAACTTCTAAAATTTTGAATCAATGGAAAACAAGAAGAATCCCCTAAAGAAAAACAATAAATATAAGGTGAAAATGGAAGCAACTTAGCAAAGGATGACAACAAACAGTGGCAGCAAGTGATCACAATCATAAAATTCATTCGAGATCTTTCACAGCAGAGATTAGTGGGGATACGATGGCAGCAAGAGCAGTGGCCGATAAGATTGAACCAATAGGTTGGGTAAAAGGAAAAACCCAAAATAAATATGGTTAGGGTTTCAAAAAATCCAAACCTTAAATGAGATTGACTCCACAACTACAATGATGTCAAACCAGGTGGTGGGTTATGAGTCTTGTGACTATACTAGCTCTATGGACAGCTCAAAGTGCCTCGAATAAGGAAGGGTCGAAATAGAGAGAAATATGTTGGGTCTGCGTTTGTTGGGCTAGGGACGTTGAGAAATATGTTGAGGAGAAAGAGAACAGAGAGGGACTTTTGAATAACTAGTATAAAAAAAAAAGTTAACTTAGCAGAGATCATGCATGTGTTGGAGGCACAAACACCGATAAAGATTGTTTATCATCCACCATTCTCGAAGCCACCAGACAAATGTGTTTCACAAAACATGTTTTTTTATGCAAAGTCAAATTTGAGGGGGAGTGTTAGAAATCAAATTCAACTTTGTTTTTTAACTTGCTATTGTTAGTCTAGAAAAATGAAGAAGCTATAAGAGGCTGCTATCTACCATCTACTACAAGAACCGATACCTTTCTTTATGGATTACCGACAAATAAAAAAAAATGAAAAGAAGACAATTTGGAAAAGTCGGTTGATGAAAGTTGTAGCAAAGTAAAGAGAAGTCTAAGTAGCAAAAGTTTAGAATATTATAGGGCCAGCCTTTCATATGGAGCCTGAAGCCTTTTAACTAATTGGACTTTTATATGAGTACAGGTATGAGCCCAATAATTGAAAAAGGCAGGCCAGGCCAGGCCGATAGAGGCTAGGCCTCTGGCCTTATTGTAACCCCTAACTATAATTCTAGATAGTTGATATGCGTCTAGCATATGATGCTTTCTAAGCTAAAAGAAGTAAGGAATTAATCATAAATGAGTGAAAATGGTTCATAAATGTCAGAAACATTGATTATTCATTCTCAGTCATTCTCTCACTCAAATTATTCATTTTGATAGCAGGAAGCACCAGAAAAGAAGTAAAAAGTGAGAATAAAAAATGCAGTCTCGCGCGATCCGCCCAGTGAATGGCGCGGATCGCGCCATTTCACTTGTTTCTTACTATTTTGCCGTGCGATCCGTGCGAGTGTGGCGCAATCTGCGCAGGCGATATTTAACTCTCTTAATCTGATGCGAATTGCACTGAATAAGGCCCAATTTGAGGGTAATTTTGGAAGATGGTTTTCCTAAACCTAATAAAAAGATCATAAACGCAGGAAGAGAGGACTTTTTGGCGGAGGAAAAGAAAGATAACAAAGAAGAGAGAGAGAATTCTTGGGAGTTCTTGGAGCGTTTGAAGAATCTCAAGATCAAGATTGAGGATCGTCATCCTATTCTTCATCATTAGGTTCTGAATTTTATTTTCTTTTACATTGAATTCGTCAGACATGAATATGTCTGGCTAGTTTCTATTATTGTGGTAAGGGTCACAACCTTTAATGTGAATCCCTTGTAGTTTGGTTAAATTTATGTTTATTTATTTAAATTGAATTTTTCTTGCCTTGTTCTTCATCTCATAATTCTTTTAGAACCAATCAATCTATTAGGATTTCGAGGGTTAGGGTTTTCAATAGGGATATTTCGATTCTAATTCCTGACAAAGGGTAGGATAACTGTTCATGTATGCGCTAGGGATAGGCTATATGAATCACAAACGTTAAAGGTTCTCTGATTCTAAAGCTTAACTTGAAAAGGGATTTCTAAGTAGGGGTGTTCTTGGCGTCGGATCTGAGTCCAATGGCCTTTATCAGCTTTCCACTTTTGTTCCAGTGTGCTCTGTTGTGGATTCTCCGCTTACTATCCACGCTTAGTTGGGTCATCCAAATCTTGCTAAGCTCCAAAAGATGGTCCCACGTTTCTCAAATTTATCTAGTTTGTCTTGTGAATCGTGTCAGTTAGGGAAACACACTCGTAGTTCGTTTCCCGATCGTGTCAGTCGTCAGTCTTCGTCTCCTTTTGCTTTAGTTCATTCAGATATTTGGAGTCCTAGTCGTACCGTTTCCACTATGGGGTACAGATATTTTGTAACTTTCATTGATGATTATTCTCGATGTACTTGGTTATTTTTAATGAAAAATCGGTTTGAATTGTTTTCTATTTTTAACAAGTTCTTTAATGAAATCCTTACTCAATTTGGTGTTTCGATTCGCATTTTTCGAAGTGATAATGCTCGTGAATATTTGTCTCATCAATTTCAAACCTTCTTTGAATCTCACGGCATCCTTCACCAGACATCATGTTCACACACCCCTCAACAAAATGGGGTTGTTGAACGCAAGAACCGTCACCTAATTGAGACTACTCGGACACTTTTGTTACATGGTCATATCCCATTCCAGTATTGGGGCGATGCTGTCCTCACAGGTCACAGCTTGTTTTCTCATTAATCGGATGCCTTCCTCCGTACTTAATAACCAGGTACCACATTCTGTGTTGTTTCCCCATCAACCTTTGTACCCACTCACTCCTCACATCTTTGGTTCTACTTGTTTTGTCCACAATCTCAGTCTTGGTCTTGACAAGTTATCTGTTAAGTCACATAAGTGTATTTTTCTGGGTTACCCTCGCTCACAAAGGGTTATCGTGGTTATTCTCCCAGTCTTTGTCGTTACTTTGTCTCGACGGATGTTACATTCTTTGAGTCTATCCCATTATTTGACTCTTCCTCCTTTCCCAGTGATTTTGTGGCTCCTCAGCTACCTTTACCCCCTGTTTCAGTTCAATATATACCTTCACCATCTCCTTCTTTAGATGTCCCCGTCCCTGTTACCGCCCCTGTTCCCCCCTCCAGGTCTGCCATCGTCGGCACCGTCCACCTGTTCCCTAGGACCCTGCCCCCAAAGACCCTGCACCTATTGTTATTGAGGCTCCTGTGGACTCACTTCCGTCATCATCTCCTCCGACAGCTCCGATCCTTCCGTCTGACATTGATGTATCCATTGCACTCCGAAAAGGTACTCGTGATTCTCGTCCCCCTCCCAGGTATTTAATAAATTTGAGTTATCATCGTCTTTCACCATCCCATTTTGCTTGTTTCTCTTCTCTTTCTTCTGTATCTGTTCCTAAGATTACAGGTGAGGCGTTATCACATTCTGGATGGCGACATGCTATGATTGATGAGATGAGTGCACTTCAGAGCAGTGGTACCTGGGATCTGGTTCCCCTTCCCTCTGGGAAGCCTGTTGTTGGCTGTCGATGGATATACACGGTTAAAGTCGGTCCTGATGGTCAGGTAGACCGTCTCAAGGCCCGCTTGGTGGCTAAAGGTTATACTCAGATATTTGGCCTTGACTATGGTGACACATTTTCTCCCGTGGCGAAAATGACTTATGTTCGCCTCTTTATTACTATGGCAGCCATTCATCACTGGCCTATGTATCAGCTGGACATCAAGAATGCTTTCCTCCATGGTGATCTGCGGGAAGAGGTTTATATGGAGCAACCTCCTGGGTTTGTTGCTCAGGGGGAGTCTAACCTAGTTTGTCGTCTCCAAAAATCCTTGTATGGTCTCAAGCAGTCTCCCCGGGCTTGGTTTGGAAGGTTTAGCACTGTTGTACAGCAATTTGGCATGACTCAAAATGAAGCTGATCACTCAGTCTTTTATAGTCACTCTGATTCAGGTTCTATTTATTTAGTAGTATATGTTGATGATATCGTCATTACAGGTAATCATACTCATGGCATAACTCAGATAAAACAACATTTGTGCCATCATTTTCAAACAAAGGACCTTGGAAGACTCCGATATTTCTTAGGGATAGAAGTGGCCCAATCCAAAGATGGCATTGTACTATCACAGAGAAAATATGCTACGGATATTCTTGAGGAGACAACACTGTTGAATGCTAAGCCCGTCGATACTCCTATGGATCCAAATGTCAAGCTTTTGCCAAATCAGGGGGAGCTATTTTCTGATCCAGAAAGGTATAGAAGATTGGTTGGGAAACTGAACTATCTCACAGTTACTCGACCAGACATTTCCTTTTCAGTCAGTGTAGTAAGTCAGTTCTTGAATTCTCCTTGTGAAGATCACTGGAATGCAGTAATTCGTGTCCTCAAGTACATCAAAAATGCTCCTGGCAAAGGTCTTCTCTATGAAAACAAGGGTCATACCAGAGTTGTAGGATACTCAGATGCTGATTGGGCAGGTTCTCCTATTGATAGAAGATCTACCTCTGGGTATTGTGTATTCGTTGGAGATAACTTGATTTCCTGGAGATGTAAGAAACAAAGTGTAGTTGCTAGATCAAGTGCTGAAGCAGAATATCGCTCCATGGCCACAGCTACCTGTGAACTTATCTGGTTAAAACAACTACTGAAAGAACTCAAGTTTGGAGACACTGGCCCAATATCTCTCATTTGTGATAATCAAGCTACTTTGCATATTGCTTCAAATCCAGTGTTTCATGAAAGGACTAAGCACATTGAGATAGATTGTCATTTCCTTAGAGAAAATGTTCTCTCAGGAGATATAGTCACTCGTTTTGTCAACTCCAATGATCAATTAGCTGATGTATTCACTAAGTCTTTGAGAGGACCTAGGATAGACCAGATATGTAACAAGTTTGGTGCATACGATCTATATGCTCCAGCTTGAGAGGGAGTGTTACTGTAAATAGTATAGAAGTCCCACATTGTGTATATGTCGTTGTATTTCTTATTTGGTTTAATATATAAATGAAATCTCCTTCGTGTAGTTGATACAAGGATTACAATGAATACCTCTTGTCTCTTCATAATTAACAATGGGTTTAGTGCTAGAGTAGGAGATCGTGAGATGACCAAAAACTGAGAAGACATGCATAGAAAATTGTAGAACCTGTGCTAGAGAGGTGGGTGTTAGGACAACCAGCCCCATCAGCATTAGAGAAGGAAAATTTAACAGCAGATCCATGAAAAGTGGATGTCATTGGCTCAAATCACAACAGAAGAGATGTAAAGACGTGTAATGGTGGAATATTGAAGAGCATGTGCCAGTTGACGAAAGAGTAGGATTGGCTAGTTAAGAACCTTTTGTTGGAGAGGACTTGGATCCTGTAATGGGAGTAGAAGCTGACTTGGAGTGCAATGTTTAAATAATGGAGATAATAAAATTAGCAAGTGATATGTCAGTAGAGCTTGTTAATAAAACATAATCCACATAGAGCAATAAGACCATTACACTGTGACAGGAGTTGTAGGCAAACATAGATATTAGAGTTGTTACTGTGAAAGGTATGTTTAATGAGCTTGTTTGAGACCATAAAATACTTTATAAAGCTTACAGATATGAGAAGGAAACTGAGAAATCACAAACCCACATCATCAGAACAAACACCAAGCAAAAAAAACTAATTTTCCGTAATAAGAAACAATGGGGACTAGCTCCTTACAGTCAGATATTGCCTCTGTGAAAACAGAAAAATGAAAAGAAAAAAGAAGATAAATCAAGAGGTCTGCAGAAATACATAACCTCTGGCCCAAACCCATTCTCTTTTACTCTCCATTCTTGCTTCCCCCCTCCTCTCTGTCCCTGCCCTCCTTTATTTCCTATCCATTTCCTTTTCTTGCTTTCATTGCCGTCTGCCATGTGTGTTGGTAATTACAGTGCAGATTCACCTTTCACATTTTGCCTACACGAGGGAATGATTCCCTGCTACCACATCCATCTTTCCTTAATATACACTCTAGATATTAGTGGTTGTACTGTCTATCACAGTATCACATTCTTAACGTCCAGTTGATAAATGAACCAACCGTACAAAACATCATGAGCAAGTAAAAGGAGAACAATAGCATGAAGAAGAGGAATTATTATATTCCTTGAAAGTAGTACAACCTTGAATTTAGTGTTTCATGAGAGAGGACAAAGCACAATGAGATAGATTGTCGTTTTATTAAAGAGATCTTATGTATAGACACCACCACTCACTTGACTAATTCAAGTGACCAATTGGTGGATGTTTTCACTAAGTCTTTGAGAAATCCTCGGATAATTTACATATGTAAAAGTTTAGTGCATAAGATCTATATGCTCTGGCTCGAGGGAGAGTGTTGGAAAGTATGTAAATAGTGTTTAGATTCATTATATAGGCTAACTGAATCATGTAATTATGGTAATTAAGATATTTGTCTTTGAATTTATTACTTTTTCGTCCGTATAATTCAGCCTCTGTTGTGTAGTTAGATACATGGATTTCATCAAATGTCTCTCGTTTTCACTTTAACAAAATTCAATAACATAATTGTTATCTTGAACAAACTTATGGATAAACATGATCAAATTAAAGTGGGGACCATAAAGAGCATATGTAATAGTTCGGGAACTAACGTAAGAAAATGGCCATTAGCCCATTATAAGTTGAAAAACGTGCAAGACATATCAGACATCAGTTCTTCTACTTTCTGTTTTCATATGAGTTTCGCAACAATTCTTGAGGCAGAAATCTGTCCCAACTTTCTGCTTTTGATGGGGACTGAATTTGTTCAAATTAGTTTCTTTGTATATATTATTTTTTATGCAGTACACTGTTATTATATTAAACATTCACCATTTAGAATTCGGACTGACACTGTAATGGCACAAAAAGTCCATTTGAATAGCATAATTACAAAAATAACTAAGCTTTTGTTCATGATACAGGGATTGACAAAAAATGGTTCTAGTGATTTTTTGCTTCCAGGTGACAATTATCCTCACTGGTTAGCCTATAAAGATGAAGGACACTCAGTACTTTTTCAAGTGCCTGAGGATGGTGATTGTCGCATGAAGGGAATGGCTTTGAGTGTTGTTTATTCCTCTACCCCTGAAAACATGGGAACTGAATGCCTTGTTAGTGTCTTGATCATTAATTACACAAAGTGCACCATCGTGATATACAAGCGAGACACAGTAATGTCCTTTAATGATGAAGATTGGCAGGGTGTATTATCAAATCTAGGACCTGGTGACAATGTCAAGATTTTTGTAGCTTTTGGACATGGATTGACTGTTAGGGAGACAGCTGTCTATCTAATATATGGCCAGTCAATTACTGTGGAAATTGAGCCATCAATTAATGTGGAAATTGAGCCATCAATTAATGTGAAAATTGAGCCATCACCTGAATTGAACATACAACCATCACCAAACATGAAAATGGAGACATCACCGAAGACAAATAAAAGTTTCTTTACAGTACTTACAAAGAAAATGGGAGAATGTTTATGCATGAATCAGAATTGAGGTTTCAACAATTTAAGAGCATGCCATTGTCATAATATAGGATCCTTTGTTTTTCATGATTTGCATTATTTTTCTGGGATGGAGGAGGGGCAGTGTTATGTTGTACATACAAGAAGGAGAATTCAAGTGGTAATTATTTGTTTCAATTAATAAGATTTTGAAAATCTCATTATTCTTGATCTCATGATTGCTTGACAAGACAAGGTGTGATACAATCGTTAGGAAAATATCTGGTGGAATACAGATATTCGAAGTCGCTCACAAGTTTGTGGTAACTTCTCTGTTGGTATTGGCTGATAATGGAAGAGGGTAAACAAGACCATGTTTGGCATTTGGTAAGTATATTTTGTTGTCTTGTGAGGACCAACAATGACTTCGGATCTTTGGGTAGCACCATAAATTTATATTGCCACCATCTTAATGCTTGAGAAATTGGAGCAGCTTAATACAAGACAATATTAATGTGCTACTGCAGATAAGGTTGCTGGGTATTAGGTTATTGCAGTTTTATCTGTGTGAAGTTGAAAAGAGTGAAGAAACTGATTCTGATGGAATTTCTCATGTGAATAGTAATGTATGCACACAGGTTTATTTAATTCTATATAATTTATAGCAAATTGAGAAGATGTAGTCAATTTCAAGCCCTATTACCATTGCCTAACTCTTATTTAGTATGTGTTTATTACCTTTCTAATCGCTGCAGTGTTATTCAATAATGGATAGTAATTAGTTGTGATGAACGTTCTCTTTTATGCGTCCAAACACAGCTTAAAGCTCAAAATATGAAACATAGTGGGAACAGGAATGGACCTTCGGATCTGATTCTACAAGAGTATTAAAGATAAGAAGGAAAATATAATAATCAGTATCCACCACTATTACAAATAAGCTATCTAAGACTGCAAATTTTCATCTGAAGACTTTTAAAAATCAAACTGTAATTATCCCTAACTTGCAATCTATGCTCTGATAATCAATACCCACTGCTACTAATAGTATAAAAGGTAAAATTCTCTACGCAATATAGGTTATACCTCATTTGGCACTCTGGAAAATCATGATATAATCGTAAAATCTATAATTGTATTTACTACTAACTTGAAGGTGCATGTACAAATCTACTATTCTTTCATGATGTTGTCATTGATGTTGCTTCCTTCTTTAGAGTTGTTTGTACTCGCATATACAATAGATGTTAAAAAGCTATTTCTCTAAAACTCGATGCAATATGTACCCAAAAACACTAATTGCAGTTTCCTTTATGTTAAAAATGGATACAAGCTTACAACTTTATTGTATTATCTTAGTCGGATATGAACCCAAGCCCTTCATTCCTTTGGCTAGTTTGGAAGCTTTATACTTTGGCTAAGTTGAAAGGGGGGCTTCTAGGTATTAATTGTGTTTGTTTATCCGAGGAAACTCCCAAATCTGTGCTTGATAAATTTGGCCATGGAATCATTACTTGTTGATAATACAAAAACCACATCTTACCTTAGTCTTTAAAAATCGCAAATGTTGACTATATTAGTCCTTAGACTCCAGACATATTATTCTTTGAGAATGACTAATATGGCCAATATTTGGGCTTCTTAGGGACGAAATTGATATTATTCTTTAGGATTTTACTTCACCTTGTTTTATTTGCAGCCCAGATTTTTTTCTCACTTTTTCATTTTATTTTTTTGGAGTAAAAAGGGAGACGAGACCAAACTAATGATGATGTACTAATAAAGTAGGGAGAAAATTAGATAAATTGTACTTTCCTCTCTTAAGAGATGCTCAAATTATATTGTTTCTCTCTTCTATTTTGAAAAATACAATCTATTCCCCCAGTGATTGTTGTGTGTCATATTATTGTTCCTTTTTAGTGTGAAGAAGAAGCCTATTATGAATAATTTATCTCTATCTCTTTCTTTACGACTCTCATCATTAGCTACTAGTTTTGAACCCTTACTATTAAGACTAGTGATATGTAGTTTTGTACACTTGTAGAGTCCTCCATGAATGTACAATAATTTTTTGCTCTAAACCTGCACTAAATTACTCAAAATTAGACTCACTTTAGCGAACAAAGCAATGACATGACATAGGTACAAAATTAATGTGAACAAGTCACCAGGCTTGGTAGGGGAAAAACGGCATAATGAATAAGTTGGCCCATACGAGTAAATTCCTTTTTATCGAACCAAGCCCAAATTAACAGGCCTGTTCAAAACGGGTCCAACCTTGTAGGCCCAATTGCGTACGAAGTAAGTGGATCCCACAGCGTGTACATTAATCATTATCAAAGAAAAGAGTTACAACTTACAAGGCCTCTGTTCCATCATCCACAACGGGGTCTTAGAGAGTAGAGTCACAATTTCAATGGCCGCAGAAATTTGTGGCAGGTCTCTACTCTTATCCGTTAAAACCCAAACATTCCTCCATGCTCAACGAACCAGAGCAACAACGAGAACAAGCACTACGAGATTCCACTCATCCAAATCTCCTCTTTATTCTCGCTCTTCAAATGCCTCCACCTTTCGCCACGGCGGCGCCTCCGTCTTCTGCCGTGTTGCTAGCACCGAGACACTCTCCGACTTCGAATCCGCCGTCAAAGCTGGCAAGGATCGTCTATCTAAGGTAAAGGCTAATGTTTCCTAGTTTTCCTAATTGTTCGATTGCTTGAAACTTTGTGGTTTGGATTTCAGGTGCCGGTGTCTAATATAAGGAACTTTAGCATCATTGCTCATATTGACCATGGGAAATCCACCTTGGCGGATAAGTTGCTTCAGGTCACTGGCACTGTGCACCAGCGAGACATGAAGGATCAGTTCCTCGATAACATGGATTTGGAGAGAGAAAGAGGCATCACTATTAAGCTGCAGGTTCTCATTCTATTTTTCCTAATTCCTTATTATATCAGTATTTGAGTTTGTTTTCTTGTGTTTGGGTACGACACTGTGTAAATCGAAGGTAATAGAATGTTCTCATTCTATTAATTTTTTTATGACTTCTGTCTAATTTTCAATCCGTTGTTGAGAAATAGTTCTTTTAGAGTAAAAATTGTTCATTATTTTTTGTACGTAAAGTCAAGTTGCAGGCTGAGGTGATACAATTAACTAATTTAAAATTATGCATAACTAATTTTAGTAATATATTACTAAGGTGGTACCATCAACTAAAATTAGTTATACATAACTTTAAATTAGTTAGCTTGTACCATCCTAATCTGCAACTTTACACTATCTATAAAAGTTAATCGAAAAAATTCTTAGTAACATGCTGAAAGTTATACATAAGTCATGAAAAATTACCTTATCTTTCTTCAATATGTTCCAAAATAAAATTTCAATTCTGGGACTGTGTGACTTCATAAGTTGCGTTAGTCTTTCATCTTCAGTGGGTCTCCAATAACTATATAAATCATGTATTGTAAGGGGGAGAGAGGGGCAGAATTACTTGGCCTCTGAAAGTACTGTAAGGGAGGGAGAGGGCGGAACGAACTACTTAGGTATATATAGCTGTAAGTTTTGTCGCCACATAGCTCCTTAAAATCCTATATTTTACTTTAAAATATTTTGAATTAATAATGTAGAATTTATCAACTGCAATTGATAGTAGTTATCTTCTAAAAGATACTAATAAGTTATAAATTATGAATTAGTTTCCTTTGAATACAAAATTGATTTTTTTTCGTCTTAATAAATCTATTACTTTTTACTGAAATTATAAGTGTGACTGAATTTTTATTTGAAAAATTTGGATTGTCGTTTAAAAAAAACTTAATTCTACGTAGCTTCTTTTTAAGTTTAGATCTCTTAATAATTAATATGAATTCATAAGATATTCTAAATGACACCATCCATGGCAAGCAAAATATGGCTTATAAGATAACTACAACAGGATTGGTTTTTTTGAAGACTTCAGGAATTTTTTCTTTAAAACAATAAGTTTAGTCGTTTGGCTTTTAGTAAATAAATATCCCTTGCTATAAAGGCATTGTAAGAGTAATCAGTGAAACATTGCTTGATATTTATTAATGGCTTTCCGACCCCAATTAATTTGGGATAAAGGTGTTGTTGATGTTGATGTTGATGTATAGAAATCCTTAATTCATTCTTAAAAGGACCTTAATTTTTTAGGGGAAATCTCAATGCTAGGGTAGGGGCAAGGGTTGATTGTACTCAACCATCCCCTTGCATTTTTGCAAAGAGCGTTTTGTTTTTTGTTTTTTTTCCTCAAAATTGAACCCGTAACCTTCCGGTCACGAAGGAGCCATCTTACCACTCCAAGGCTTGTCCTCAGCCTTGATTTTTTTTAATAGAAAAATTTAAAAAGGTCGGATGTATATCGTGTTAGCATTTTTTTCGGTTTATAGTACGGTTAACCTTCTCGGTTAATATTAAAACTAAAATTTGCTGCTTGCTGTTTCGGAAGATTCCCCCTCTAAGCATAAAGTTATTCTCTTTATTTAAGCATTATTCCCTCTCTAAGCATAAAGTTACTTTCTTTACATTTAAGCTTGTAGCGCTTGTATGAGTATCATGGAAATTTGTTGAACATGACCGAGAGACTCTTAACATGAAAATTAGTTAGCCATTTTCATTTCCAAAACCTGGTAAGGAGTCTAATTTTGAATTATAGGCTTACCCTTTCCCTAAACCATGATATGGAGGATATGCATTTCCAAATTTTTTTGGCAATGCTCGATTTGATTATGCTGTTCTCAGTGTGTTTGGATTAGCTTATTTTTTTTTTATTAAAAATAACATCAAAGTTTTAATGAGAGAGCTTTTGAAAAAAAAAAATGAAGAGATAATTATTGGATTTAGCGCTTACCACTAAACCAAAAGCTATAGCTATTAGTCAAGGCGCAACTCTTTCTATTTACCCTTACTAGCCCTAGCGCCATAGTTCGATCCACACCGTGCCTTGCCAAGATAGGATGTTGGCTTCACTAACAATCCCTCCCCCCAAACTTGCTTCCGCAAAGTTTCATCCTTGGGAATCAAACCCAT